ACGTTGCAATATTGCCTTTTTCTTTTCGAAAACCGTTGTATTAGTTTCCAGCTCATGAGGGATGGTCATGCACACACATACGCACTGCAAACACTTAATAATTTTCAAAACTTGGTTTATTGTCAAAATCCTTGACATTATTATCATAAATATTTTCCTTACCATTATGATCGGTATTACCCTAATTATTTTTAATGAAGATGGTTTTATTCACAAGCCTAGGGATAATGATAATGAGAATAAGAATAATGAGTACAACAGAAATAATTGAAAACATAATACTAATGACGTTGATAATAACGATGATACCAACAATAAGAAAATAATGATAATAATAGGAAAAAATGATAATGGTAATGAAAATAACAGTGAAGTAAATTATAGCAATAATGGTAACAATAATAATCCTAATGATAATGATTATAATAAAAAAACAATGATAACAATGATAACAATACCGATAATGAAAAATAATGATAATGATAAATAAGACAAATTCAGTAACGATAATGATGTTGATGATATTAATAGTAATGTTATTAATAGTGATAGCATTAATAATAATAATAATAATAATAATAATGAATAATATTGATAATAACAATAAAAGTCTAAATGTTAATCATAATCATAATGATAATGACAATAGTGATATAATAATATTGATAACTGTAATGATAAGAAAGATAATACCATACAAATCGTAATGCTAATAATGATAATGGTAATAACAATAATGTGGATGATAATAAGAAGAATGATAATAATAGTGGTAGCAGAAGTAGCAGTAGTAGTAGTAGTAGTAGTAGTTGTAGTAGGAGTAGTAGTAGTAATAATAATAATAATAATAATAATAATAATAATAATAATAATAATAATAATAATAATAATAATAATAAAAATAACCATGAGAATATCAACAGTAATAATTATGATAATAACAGCAATGGCATTGGTAGTGATAGTAACACTGATAACAATGTAGATTATGATTGATTTTTACTTTATTACTATAACTGTTATTTTCGCTATTATTATTATTATTATTATTATTATTATTATTATTATTATTATTATTATTATTATTATTATCATTATTATCATTATTATAGTTTTTTATTAGTAGTAGTAGTAGTATAATCATTATTATTATTATGATTATCATTATATACATTCTTTTAGATTATTATTGATATTAATAGTATTATTGTTGCTATTGTTATTATCATTAGCATCATTATCATTATTATTGTTATTTTTATCATTTCCTCTTATATCATTACTATTATTATTATCATTATCATCATTGTTTTCATTAATATTATCATCATTATTATCACTATTATGATTATCATTTTCATTGTTATCATTATTTTTGTTGTCGCTGCTTTTGTTTTTTATTATTTTGATAATTTCTATTCCATTATTAGCACTTTAATCTATTGATTTAACTATCTTCATCATTATTAAAATTATTTTACTAATATTGATAGTAATAATAACAATAATGATGACAACAATAGTAATCATAAAAAAATACAATAACAAAAGTAATACTAATTATAATAACAAAAAGAATCAATGTTTTCATCCTTATTATCTTGATAATTGTTATTATTTATATCAATACAACTATTATTATTGTTATCATTATTATTATTATTATTATTATCATCATCATCATCATTTCTTTTACCATCATTATTAAAATTATTATTATTTTTATCACCTTTATCATTATCATCATTATGGTTATTAGTAACAGTAGTAGTCTTACTATTTTTATTGTTATTATAATGGTCATTATTTTCATTATCATTGTTATCATCTCTCTCTTTATCTATCTATCTTTTCCCCACTTCATCCTCTCCCTTTTCCCCTCCTATATCTTCTCCTCCCCCTTCTTTGCTTCCTTCATCTGCCCCCCCCCCTACCTTGTATCTTCCCCCATTCATCTCCTTCAGCCTTCATCTTATTCCTTCCTTCTCCACTTCCTCCCTTCCTATTCACTCCTTTTACCCACTCCTCCTCTCCCTAGCTTCACTCATCAACATATTTTATACTGGAATGGACGACGCAATTATACTTATACCCCCTTGATGAGGAGAGTGGGGTACTAAAGGCTTATAATAGCCTGTAACTGAATTCGAGTGATGGGAAAAGCGCGGTAGTATGTGGGAGAGTTGGGGACTAAAGGCCGGAGAAGGAGGGGAGGGGAGGGTTGGGGACCTAAGGGCGGGAAGGGGAGGGGAGGGTTGGGGACCTAAGGCGGGGAAGGGGGAGAGGGTTAGAGACTAAAAGGACGGGGAAGGAGGGGGAGGAATGGAGGATAATTCTTTGGATGGTTATTAGCACGATGGCGATAATGATGATAGTACTGCTGTGGCTTTGAATTTAAAAAAGAGCATATAGATACTGCACTGCTTAAAGAATATTGTCTAAAGTTTGCTCTCTGGGATATAATCACCACTCTGATGGCAATACATCAAGAGATGTTGAGAAAAAATATAATAATGCTGAAAATAATAACATTGGTATTCAAATTGCGGTAATGATCACATTGGTAACAATAATGGTAACACAAATAACAGTATTAATCATTATCAGTGCTGTCATTGATAATGATAATGGTGGTCTTAATACCTAATAATTCATATTGTTATTGTTATCATAATAATGATAATCAGTATCAGTATCAGTGTCATCATTACTATTACAATCGTATTGTTATTATTTTCATTAATGCTTACATAATTATTATTACTAGTATTATTATCGTAGTTATCATTACTACTACTACTATCATCTTCATCTTTATCATCTTTATTACCAATATTATCATTACCATTATCAGTATCATTGCCATTATCATTATTATTATAATTGTTATTACCATTACTATTATGATTGATTTAACTATAATAATCATGATAATAATGATAACAATTAAAATTATAATGATGAAAATGATAATAAGGATAATAATTATCATTATTATTAACACTACATCCTCATGACCATTATCATTATTATCATACTTAATATCACTATCATTATTAGCATTAGTATCATTCTTGTCATTATTATTATGATTACTATTATTACTCTCTTTCATTTTGGTTGATTATTCGCCTGCTGAAATCGGGAACCAAGTTGTAGCAATTTCAATGGAATTTTTAGTCTGTTCTTTTTAGCTTATATGGTAAGGGGTCATCTTGAATATACCCTGATTCATCTAGCCTTTTTACAGCCTGCCAGGGATTGCGAAAAATCGAAGTAACCAGCAAAATGCTCTTTAGGAGACCGAGTCTAAGAGAAATATGTTCAGGCTGGGAATGAGTAAAAGCTTAAACATAGTATGAGGTTTATTGAAGAACATTGTTGCACTCTCAAGAAATTTTACAAGTGGTGTGTACATCACCAATTTATCACAGCAGAGGCGATGCACACGGAAAACCAACACCAGGCAAACTAACAATAACATAGAATTATCCATATGCTGGCGCCCCTACTCCATAAATGTATTAATTAGTGTCATAACAAAAGCATAGATATCCCTAAGTTAAATAAGATTTCTAGCCTATATTAATATAAACTTAGTAAAGGAAAATAAATGAATAATAAAAAATAACTAAATAAAACAATAAAATATCGCTGACAAACTCAGTGAAATCACCTGCACAAACACATGGAAAACTACAAGAAATAGTTTAAAAAATGGATGCCAAGTTAGACGGCGTAGAAATGAAAAGAACAAGGCATATAAATTCACGAAGACTGCCTGAGCGCCCACATGGTCAGGCCGGAATCGATCAAGACAACACGGAACAATAGGAGATCCCGACCAGTATTTATAGACTATGGACTCTCCCAGAAGGTATGGAGCCTCAAACTGGGAGGAAAAGAAAATTAAGTGATAAATTTATTATAAAATTTTGTGGTAACATTGGAGGTACAGATCCTCTGTGTTACGCCTATGTGATCGGAAATGGAAATTATAGCCTATGACTATTATAGCCTGTGACTATGAAAATTATAGCCAACACTAGAGGTGCGGGCCCTCAAACAGTGTTTTTATTATACGTCTTGGTTCTCCTGAAAAGTGACGGTAACACTGGGTGTACAGACTATGAATCAGTGTTTTCTTATGTGAATCGATAACAGATCTTCGAGCAGTGTTTTTCAGTGTGAAGTGTTAACACTGAAAGTACGGATCCATAGCCAACAGTGTTTTTTTAGGTACAGATCCTAAGTGATGACATGGTTCCACGAGAGTTTATGCAACACTGGAGGTACGATCATCTGGCATTTTGTTTTATTTGATATGGTCCTACCAAGCCCTCAAGCAGTTTCATAGAATCACTGAGTATTGCTTTGGGATTTTATGAAGGGGAGTGCACCCTGGAAATGGTAATGCAGCATTGGCACACGCCTAAGTCCAAAAGAGACCAGTGGTCTCATACACACAACTATAAAAAAATTTAATTTTGTGAAGAGACACAACTCGTCAGTCCTGGCGCGAAGGAAGTAAATCCATGAGAGAAAGCACACACAGTAAAATCCCAACTGTGAAGGACCAACCAGAAACGAAGGCTGGACTGAAGTCCGATCCACAGTCAAGGTGCAGCAAGTCAGAATCCAAGTGACTTTCCTTCCCCAATCCATGGATACTTATACCCCGAAAGAGACCCCCAGGCCATGCCCCAGGCATGACACGAAGAGAGGAAAATATGCAGATGAAGTACCCGAAGACCAACTCTATAGTTCGACAATCCAAACAACCCAAACAATAATGGAGGAGAGGAAAAACTATGTGATGACCATAACCTCCTTCAAGGTTAACACGACACTTTGAAGATATCTGCAATGAGAAAGAATAATAGAAAAAGAGAAATAAGGGGAGGTACACTGATAATACTCCGTTTTAAAGAAAACTACGTTTTGAACTTTACAGATTTACATCTAATTTACAAAATAAATAATTCTTTACTCTGTTTGTATCAGACTCTGGACTGGCAAGGCGTTGGGTAGTAGTTCATCATCTGATCACCAACATCGACTCCCTTCATGCCGACGTCGTAATCCTTTACTACCAACGGTTTCTCCCCTTCCATTGCGGCGGTATGGACGTTAGACAGCATGGTGACGTTATTGCTGTCCTTCCACACCAAGGCCAGCAACCCCGTCGTACTGCTGGGGTAATCGACATCATCCCTCCAACTCACACTGAGGTCCTTGGGCATAAACTTCCTGTTCAGCCGGGCTGTCCCTACCGCATTCGTCCTACGTGACTGCAACAAATGAAAGAGCGTAGGCGACGTGTACCAGTTGTCCACAAACAACTGGTATCCTTTGTCAAGGAAGCCGCCATACTCCATGAGATGAAGCACCGCTTTCGTGGAAGAGGGCATGTCGCCAAGGTCCTTCCCGGTGTACCCTGCAGCCAGGCCAATACTGGCATAGAGCATATACACCTTCAACCCGAACCTCGCCTTCTTGGTTGGGTTGTAAGTCCAGAAAGCTAACCGCCCACGGAACTTCCACAACAACTCGTCAATGCTGATCTCCTGCCCCGGGACGAGAGTCGTCCAGAACGAGTCGTTGAGGGCGTCCACGACTGGTCAGAGCTTCCACATCCTGTCCTCTGGAAGTGGAGCTCCTACCTCCAAATGCGAGAAATGGATGTGTGTCAACTGGTTGAACTGATCTCTCATCACCTCGGCAATGAGATGGTGACGAAGAACGAGATTGGTCGACCAGTAATCGCAGGAACTGGAGACTTTGACCATCCCCATTATGAGACTATCCCAAGGTACGCCTTGACCTCCTGCCAGGACGTTGGAGTCCACCTCCTCATATGTGGCGAGGCGGCAAAAGGGTGGGTAACCGCGTACCTGTGGGAGTGAAAAAGTAAAACAAGTAATACATTCTGATTCCTCAATGTTAAATTTTTTTCAATATGAATACAATTAGAAAGAGCACAATAGTGATAATATCGAAAATTACCAGTTGGTCTCCGTCATAAAAAGATCGGGGAGATCATCTGTGGAAAAGCACTCGAGGATCTCCAAGGTCGTGGCCGAGACGTCCAAAGGGACCTTCACCCCAGGATCGCTTCGGAACTCCTCGATCTTCGGGACGTTGACCTTGTGTCGCCAGGTGAACCCCTTGGAGCCAGGTACTTTCCTCAGAGCCAGCTTGGCAGCCACGCTGGAAAGCAGCTCGTCACTGTCCAGCGTGGTGTCGACGGCGGCGTCAACCAGAGGAAAGGAATCCAGTTCGTCCTACGAACTGGATTTGTCGAACACGCGGTCGGCGACGTCCCCCTCCCGACTCGGCATCCAGTCGTCGCCACTTTCTTCCGACGAAATATGGAAACAAGTGGGCGAACGAGGTTCCGAGGGTGCAGGCGATCGCGATGGTATGACGAAGCACCCTCGCAGGAACTACCGAGGATGTCGAGGGCTGGAGGCCTCGATTACGTCCTTGTGGGAGAGGAAAAGAAAATCAATACCTTCTGATAGTTCCATGCTAGATTCTATCAATGTGAATAAAAATGGAAAGAACACAAGAGTGATAACGAAACTTGAGGTCTGGGGGCCTTCACCCTCAACAGGAGACCTGGGGCGCATCAGACGACGGCGATGGCGAGCCTGTAGGAGTTTAAGAGAAAGACAAGTAAGTAATACATTCTGATACCTCAGTGCTAGATTTTTTCAATGTAAATACAAGTGGAGAGAAGACTAGAGTGATAATAATGAAACTTATTGTCATCGGGTCATCGACGTCAGAGGAGGCGGAGGAGTGCGAGCGTGGGCGGCAGGCAGTCCGAATGAAGTGATGAAGGAACTGCAAGCACCCCTATATATCCGGAAAATTTCGCGGGCTTTAACACTGGTGAGGCTATGGAACCAACAACTATGTTCGGAAGTGACGTTATTTACTTCTACGTGGAAGTAAGATGGCCACACGCGCGCGCGCACACAAAACACGCACACGCTCACGCGGGCGCGCACCATTCTCACACATACAAGCTCCTCACACACACACACACACACACACACACACACACACACAGAGAGAGAGAGAGAGAGGTACGCGTGCGTGTGTGTGTGTGCGAGAGAGAGAGAAGTGAGCGCGGGCACGGTGCGCGTGCGCACACTTCTCTCTCTCTCACACACACACATACACACACGTACACTTGCACGCACGCACACGTCTCTCACTCTGACTCTCTATTCAGTATTTATTTTATTTATTATTGTTATTATATTATTATTATATATATATATATATATATATATATATATATATATATATATATACTATATATATATATATATATATATATATATATATATATATATATATATATATATATATATATATATATATATATATATATAATATATATATATATATATATATATATATATATATATATAATATATATATACACACATTATATTATATATATATATATATATATATATATATATATATATATATATATATATATATATATATATATATATATATATATATATATATATATATATATATATATATATATATATATATATATATATATATATATATATATATATATATATATGTATGTATATACGCACGCACACCTCTCTAACTCTGACTCTTTCTATTCAGTATTATTTTTATTTATTATTATTATTATTATTATTATTATTATTATATAATATATATATATATATATATATATATATTTTTTTTTTTTTTTTTTTTTTTTTTTTTTTTTTTTAGAAGCAAAAATAAAAACATTCGCTTTACGTAGTTACTTTTTCATATATTTTTGACAATCCTCCCCAACTTTCTCCTCCCATTTTGACTTCAAATCCTTTTCTTTTTTATATAAATCCCCTACTTTCTCCTCCCATTGTGACTTCAACTCCATTAGCTTTTTTATGATAATTCCCTACTTTTTTCCTTTATTTATGACGTCAACCCCAGGCAAACTGACTTAAATTCTTTGTATGGCCTCATGACACAACGCGTACAACAATAAATCAGTTGTGTAGATATACCACACGTTACTGACGTCCAAAGATTACGTCGCGCGAGGGAGACGCCCGGCCGGAAGCCAGAAAGCAGGCCGTCGCACCGGAGGGACAGGCGGCTGCGGTCCCACGGGTGCGACACCCGGCGTGCAATTTTCATGATCATTCATTTCATTATCGTCATCGTAATTATCATCATTATTGCCAGTATTACTATTATCACTATTATTCGTTTCGTGCTGTTGTGATTGTTAATATCGTTATTATTATTATCATTATGAATTATATTATTTGTATTATTTATCTTATGATAATCATTATCTTTAGCATCAATAATGTAATTATCTTTAGCATTTATTATCATTTACAGTAATATCACAATGATTTTTCTAGTATACGGTATCATTATTTTACTGTAAGTACTATTTAATAATTATTATTACTATTATCATATTCATCCTTATTATTATCATTATTATTAACATCATCATTTTATCTTGATAATTACTGTCTTTATTATGTTATCATTATTTGTCAATGTTAATATACTACTAATAATAATGATAATGCTAGTAATATATATGATTTTCATTCATCATCATTATCATAGCTTAATTGCGTCCGCCAAGGAGGTAATGGTTATGAACGTCACTAGTGTCCTTGAGAAAGAGATAATTTAAATGTAGTTCATCCTGCGTAAATATTGTCATTGCATCAGTGACCCTGTTGCTCAGGCGGAGGTATGCGCTCTCTGAGTGCTTCTAGTTAGCATTATTATCTTTACCTCTGCTAAGATTATGCTTTTGGTAGTGTTGATTAGTTGGTTAAAAGGATAAGTTATTAACAGATTCTTGTGAATTTTTCACCACGTGTGTCGTAGCCTAACTTATATACACTTAATTTTGGTGTTGATCCGGATCATCATCCAGATCCTGCGCAATATAACTGGAAAAGTTATGACAAATTTTTATGAAATGTTTAACAGTCCGAATTAAATACCAATGAATCGGTGGTGATCCAGATCATGATCTAGATCCAAGAATCTTTTAAATGATTGTATCAATTATCCATTACCTTGGCAGATATTTTTTTTATTGTCCATAGTAGTGTTATATCTATAATACTTTTATTGATACTATTATTTGCAGTATTATCTGATATAGATAATTTACCTGCTGATACCAATGTATGTTTGAATTTAAATCCCACTGATGAGACCAGTCACTCATAATGAATTATATATATAATATATATATATATATATATATATATATATATATATATATATATATATATATATATATAATATATATATATATATATATATATATATATATATATATATATTATATATATATATATATATATATATATATATATATATATATATATATATATATTCAAATATATTCTTGTTTAAATCTACTAGTTTGTTAATATCAATTCCAAAGCAAATGATTTTTTGATATAGTTATCACCAACCGAGGTTTTAGTATTAAATCATTTAGTATTTCTTTGTACAATGTATTTCCTTATGCTCAAATAATCAATTCATTTTCCTATATCACGTTCTCTTTTTGTATGTTTTATGGTAGACTTAAATGCAGATATATCAGATTAACGCCCCTTTCTGGAAAAGTGTACTTTTTGTCAGTGATAATAGTACCGATGAACAGATAAAACATTTTAACATGAAATTGTCATAAAACTTATTTTGACTATACTTCTGATGCTTCCCTTGAGAAGATTAGATTTAAATGTCTAAATGAATTATATAGCAATAAGGGTAATAAGATATAATTTGCTTATTGGGTTGATAGTTCCAGATCATGCCGCCAGATTAAGAGAGCTAGCTTTCCAATGCCCTAGTCGAGACTTCGCTGATGAGAGTGCCAGATAACACCACCAGGGCATACTGACAGGTTAAGCATTCTTATACACTGTAACTTACAAGCAATTAATTTATTTTCACACACAAACGCACACATTCACATACACACGCGCGCATGTACATGCACATGTGCATGCATACATGCACATACGCACACATGCACACACATGTATAGACACAAGCATATGTTTAAAAAATCTAAGTTCCATTGTTTCTTTCATTAGGCATGCCATTGGCACTTGATGGCCAATATGACCGTCTCAAATACCATCGGACATCGAGGCAGCAGGTGTCCCTGGAGGAGGTTCAGCGGGCATCTAGCCACAGGCAAGACAGTGCCATCGTCGAGGAGCACCTTGGCGTAGCTGAAGGAGCACCATTTGACGTTCAAGTGGTGTATACTTTGAATAAAAATGTACTACTAGCAAAGTATATATATACAATGGAACCTTTTAAGAATTCAAATGCAAGTTTACCACAAATGAATCAATCAAATACTGATTATTCTGTTTAATTTACTACATTTTCAGTTATCTGCGACGAACTTCTGGAACTGAACAGGAAAATGTTTCCTGATTCCGCTGTCGCACCCCAAATGGCCATCAAAAGGAAGAAATTATCACAAATCAAGAAAGGTTTTTGTTAAAAAAATGGCACACTAAACTTCAAAATAACAAATTTAATTAGATTATTGATGAAATAGCAAAGTGCTCCCCGGAAAGAGTATGTTATATAGTTGTCAAGTAATTTGACAATGATAATTTAATTAAGGTGGCCATGCTAGACCTTA